GTAGTTAACATCTTCCATTTGGTGGGGGTTTTTCACAACTCAGGAAATGTGCATCAAATACTGTTACCTAGGTACTTCAGAGAGGAGCTAAAGCAGAGGATATGGGGAAAGGGCTGTCCTGGGAAGGCCCCCATGAGGTCCTACTCGGTTACAGTAGTAGATGGAGCTTGAGCTTAATTTCAATTTGCCCAGAGGTGGCTGGTGTTTTAAAGGGAGAATGAGGGAGTTGGGGAGATGGTAATGAGGGAGTAAAGGGGTCAAGCAGGGTTAGGGAAATTCAAAAATCACAAACACCTGGTATGAGAGTTGGTCAAAGTTAGCTTGATTTGGGCTTTTGTGCCTGCTAACTATGCAAGTTACTAGACTTCTACCTCCCACAGAGTCTGATGATTACATACAAAAGGAATGGCTTTCAGGTCCTTGAGGACACCCTGTCTTGTAGGAGATACATACACATCTCAGAGGGACAGAGGAAAGATTTACAATTTTAAGTTTATTTTTAAAATTAATGGGGGAATTCCCTGGCAGTCTCGTTGTTAGTACTTGGCGCTTTCACTGCGGTGGCCCAGGTTCGATTCCTGGTCGGGGAATTAAGATCCTGCAAGCTGCGCAGCATGCCAAAAAGAAAAAAAGGAGATGAGGGACCTAGATCAGGTATTGGCTGGAACAAACAATAAATTCTTTTGGCAACCTTGAGTTTTCTAGACAGCAGTGAGGGAGGAGCAGGGTTGTGCTAGGGACGTGTCCTTAGGCTGATAGAAGCCATGCTAGAGTTTGGTCTGCTCTCTCAGTGCAGGTGTTTGGGTATTCATGCTGAGAGTTTTTGCAGTTTTTCTGTACCCCTCCTCCTTTTTAATGCCTTATCTTTCGAACTGCCAAAAAGAGAGGAGTTACTGGTACTTCCATTGTGTATATGAATCTAAGATTAATATGTTAATGATCTCACTGAGATAAATTCTGTGTATTTGCTGTGTAGGCATGTGAAACTACCTTTCTTATAAATATTGAGCCGATGTGAACTTTTAAATGCCCCCCACGCCCCCTCCCCTTTATTTTCCATCCTCAACCTTGTTTTTCTCTGTGTAGAAGAAGTTAAGAAGAACAGACACAGGGAGTTTTGGAGTGATAGCGAGCAGCCAGCCAAGAGGTCTCCAAGGCTGAATGGCATTCAGCCTTGCAGGCCCGGGACATTTGATTTTGTGTATTAGAAAGACTGTTCCTTAGGCACCATACAGGGGGTCGCAACAAGATGTGACCGCTCATTAACTACATTTAGAGAGAGTCAAACTTAAAACCAGTATTATGGAATTATAACTTATGGTGATAAATATGAATGTTTTGGACATTGGAACATTCTCTAAAGAGGAATTGCATGCAAAACCAAATTATTATTATATATTGATACAAGGCTGCTTGGTTAGAATCAAGTTGGAACATGGGGAGTTAATGTGAATTACCAATCTACTAGGGATCCCCTTGCTTTAAGGTCCCAAGAATAACTGTCTAGACAGTCTCTGATAAACAAAGCTAATTTCTGGTTCTCTAGGCAGACTGTGGCCCCTGGGTCAAATCTGGCCTGCTGCTTGTTTATGTATGGCTTGAAAACTAAGAATGGTTTTATATATTTAAATGGTTGGGAGAATGGTTGATATATGAAAATTATATGAAATTCAAATTTCCTTATAAAGTGGTATTGTAATACAGTGAAGCTTACTTGTTTATGTATTTTCTGTGACTGCTTTTGCACTGTAACAGCAGAGTTGAATAGTTGAAAAAGAGGCCATATGGTCACAAAGCCTAAATTATTTCCTGTTTGTCCCTTAGAAAAAGTTTGCTGACTCTTGGTGAGATTATATAGTCCTGCATAAGAATTATTTAAGTGTCATTTAGAGTACCTTTTTTATTTGCAGGTTTTATTTGCAGTATTTACTTCGTGGTAACAACAGGTTAGGGCTACTTGGGCAAATCTAATTAATGTGCCTTTGGTGGGGGGGGGGAGTACCTCAAATGGCACAGTAGTATGTCTACATTGCCCTTAAAGAAACAGAAAATGAATAGCATGTTTATCTCTGAATATCAGCACAACAGAGGTTTTACACCCTAAGCATTGTAAATGAAGGTCAGTAAATTGAAGCTAAGTAGTGAGGAAGCAGAGGCTTATATCTTAATTATCTCTATATCTACCTCTCTTTCTCTTTCCTCCCCTTTCACACAGTAAATGATAATCAACAGTTGTTCAGCTATATTTGGTGTCTGACGCTGTGAGCTGTTGGCCATGCTTTGGAGCTGTGTCATTCTCAGCCCCTTTGGTGAAACTGAACTTCCCCACACTCAGCTTTAGCCTACATCTTCTTCTAGGGGTATGGTATACAGTAGAGCACTCAAGAAATGCTTCATCCAAATCATAAGCTTGGCTCTGTGTTGTTGGCTGTCCTTCTGTCAGATTTTTTTAAATTGAGATATTATTCACATACCGTGAGATTCACTCTTTAAAAATATGCAATTCAGTGTTTTTAAGCATATTCACAAGGATGTGCTCTATCTTAACTGTAGAACACTATCATAATTATAGAGCATTTTTGTTACTCTGAAACGAAATCTGCCCATAGCCACCACTGTCTGTTCCTCCCTCTGCTTACCCACTAGCAACTGCTAATGAATTTTGTCTATATGGATTTGACTCCTGTGGAAATTCCATATACAAACTTCCATAAATTTGTGACCTTTTATGTCTGGTTTCTTTCACATAGCATCGTGGTTTTTTGGGTTTTTTTTTTTTTTTTGGCGGTACGCGGGCCTCTCACTGTTGCAGCCTCTCCCGTTGCGGAGCACAGGCTCCGGACGCTCAGGCTCAGCAGCCATGGCTCACGGGCCTAGCCGCTCTGTGGCATGTGGGATCTTCCCAGACTGGGGCACGAACCTGTGTCCCCTGCATCAGCAGGCGGACTCTCAACCACTGCGCCACCAGGGAAGCCCTAGCATCGTGTTTTGATGTTCATCCGTGCTGTACAATATATCACTACTTCATTCCTTTTCATGGATGCATAAAATCCCATTGTATTTATATTCCATGTATTATTTTATTCATTCATCAGTTGATGGAAATTTGGGTTGTTCCCACCTTTTGGCTATTATACTGTGATGTTTTCATTTTTTGGGAGTACATACCGAGGAGTGGAATTGCTAAGTCATGTGGTAACTCAGTGTTAACATTTTGAGGAATTGCTAAACTTTTTTTTACAAAGCGGCTGCACCATTTTACATTCCCATCATTTGCTATTATCCTTTTTTTAAAAAAATTTATTTAATTTATTTATTTTTGACTGCATTGGGTCTCCGTTGCTGCGTGAGCTTTCTCTAGCTGGCGGCAAGCAGGGGCTACTCTTCGTTGCGGTGCGCAGGCGTCTCATTGCAGTGGCTTCTCTTATTGCAAAGCATGGGCTCTAGGCACGCAGGCTTCAGTAGTTGTGGTGCGTGGGCTCAGTAGTTGTGGCTTGTGGGCTCTAGAGCGCAAGCTCGGTAGTTGTGGCGCACAGGCTTAGTTGCTCCACAACATGTAGGTTCCTCCCGGACCAAGGCTCGGACCCATGTCCCCTGCATTGGCAGGTGGTTTTTCAACCACTGCGCCACCAGGGAAGCCCCTATCCTTCTTTTTGATTACAGCTATCCTAACAGGTATGAAGTAGTATTTCATTGTGGTTTTGATTTGCATTTCCCTAATGACTAAGGACATTGACTGTCTTTTCCTGTGCTTATTGGCCATTTATATATATTCTTTGGCAAAGTGTCTATTCACATGTTGACCTTTAGGTTTTAATATAATCATTTGAGGTCTTCCTTGTATAATATTCCAGAAATTTCCCTTATTCTGTATATCTCAATTTTTTTTCTCTACAAAATGTAGTGCTATCAGTCAGAGGAAGTATGGTATTCCAGAGAATGGAGAGCTCATTCTTCCTTTTTGCCTTTGAAGATCCCCCATGATATAGTTCCTTGCCATACTGCATTCTGTCCTAACTTGGTAAAAAAAAAAAAAGATGACACCGGTACAGGAGAGGAAAAGGGTAGCCCTCCCAGGAGGGCCAGCCTGGTCTTATTCCTAGGTTGAGGTGGTTACATAAAGCAGTTTCACTTGCCTGTTTGTTTTTCTCCTGCCAGTGTTTCTAGCTAATTGCCCAAGCTCCCAGATAATTTCGTGCCTTGTATTGGTTCTTCTCCCTTGGCCTTCATTATACTCTTTGTTCCTTGGATTGGAAAAAGAGCATGAAGTTTCTAGGTACTTTTTATCATTTTTTATACCTATTTCACAACCTTTAAGGTCAGTATTATTACTGCTCCCCTTTTATTGCTGAGGAAACTGGCTCACAGAGGTCATAAAGCCCATGGTGCATCGCCTGATAAGTGGAATGGTTATCCAGATCTTCTTTCCTCATCCTTTTAAAGTGTCTCTGGTTTGCTTGCAATGTTTGTATGAGAAGAGAAGCCTAGAAATTTAAGTTAATGCCACATTATAGAAGGTCTCAAATGCCAAGCAGTGGAATCTTTACCCATAATTAGGAGGATTTTGAGTTGGAGAGTTACTTGAATAAAAATGTGCCTACAGTTTGGCATGGTTTTTTTAGCTTGCTTCTGTTGTAGGCATAGAGATGAATAAACTATTGTCCTTGCCGTCGAGGAACTTCTAGGCTGTTTGGAGAGGTGGAATCAGATAATTACTTGCATTTGGGAAAATGTGCCACAAAAGTGTATATAAAATTCTTGAGAGCAGAGGAGAAAGCTGCAGGGATCACTGCTTACCTTAAATTCAATCATCAGACAGTAGTAAACATTTCTGGTATATTTAAGTAGTGGGCATTTCAGGGTGGGATTGGATTCAGTTGTGTTTGGTATAAACTTTTTCCTTTATATATTAACAAAACTGTTAACATAATTGTACAACAAAACTACCAATGTAAATTTAAATTGCTTTTATGTATTAAGACTTTAACTTTCTCTGACAGATATGTCAAGAGTTTAACAGCACCTGGGCATGGGAGATGGAGAAGAAAGGCTATCTTGAAATGAGTGTTGAATGCAAGTTAGCACTCTTAAAGGTAATAAATTTATTATTTGTTACAGTTATTTTAATTAAAAAATTCACTTTTGACTCCTTCTGGTTGAATTGGGAAATAACTAGAAAGTAGACTTTTGGTGGGGGGCTTACGCCTGCAGCATGTGGGATCTTAGTTCCCCGACCAGGGATCGAACCTGCACCCCCTGCAGTGGAAGCACCGAGTCTTAACCACTGGACCACCAGAGAAGTCCCCAAGTAGACATTTTCACTGTTAGCGGAAAAGGACAATAGATTTTTCTTTTTCTTGTTTATTGTTTGGTGATAAAACTGTTCTTTAAATTACTGTTTTGGGTTATTTTTCAATATACAAGTATATCTAGGTTTAATGATCGCTGCTTGTAGGGACAATAGTAGAATGGGTAAACCCCACATTAATTTTATGCATTATTTGCAGCCTTCAACAGTCATTGTTAACAAATATGGTAAACTGTGGTTAATCTTTTACTGATTTACTAAATTAGTAATTTGATCATTAGTTTTCCAGATGACATGGGGCATGCCAGTGTGTACTTAATAAAAGTCTCACATAACCAAACCTACTTAATTAAAATAGGTCTTCTCAAAGTATAGATTTATTTTCAAGTTTGAGTTCCCCTTTTTCTCCTTGCTTGCTTCAGGGTGTTGGCCCTAATTATTAGCAATGTGGTCAGCATAATGAAGGGGAAAACTACCTTTATAGAAGAGAGTCTACGGGCCTAAACACCACAGGCAAAGGCAAAGAGGCTATGATAGGAACGTCATGTATTATTTGCCTGGGCAGATAGGTTCAGGGAAGAAATCTGACTTTATACACTAATCATACACAAAAATTTTAATTAAAAATCAGTTCTTCCAATTTGGTGATGTCTTTTTTTTTTTTTTAAAGAGAATTCCGCAGAGTAAGTTATCGATAAGACTGCCTTCCTTAAAAACTGTATATGTCTCAAGCTTTCAAAAATAGATAGCCATTTCAAGAATGAAGTTCATCTAAAAGCTTTAAGAGAGAAGGAGTGATTGAAAATTTTATACCATGAACAAATTTGGGAAACTTTAGTACAAACAGACTCATTGCTTTAAAATATAACTTCACTTTTGTGTCATTGGTTGGGTTAAACCTATAAATTTCTGTAATACAAAAATTAAATGTTAACTTAGAAATTTATGTTTTAAAGTTGGTTACTGTAAAGTAAGTGTACGAAAGGGGAGAGAGGAAAGTGAAAGATGGATAAAACTAAAAGTATTCTTTCTCCTATCCCCAAATCTGTTCCTTGGTTGAACATATCACATTTATTTTCATGGAGAAACATTTATGGGGTATTTTAAACCATGTCATGACTATTTTCCAGTACCTCTGTGAGTGTCAGTTTGATGACAATCTCAAATTCAAGAATATTATCAATGAGGAGGATGCCGATACCATGCGTCTCCAGCCAATTGGCCGTGACAAAGATGGCCTCATGTACTGGTACCAGTTGGATCAAGATCACAATGTCAGAATGTATATAGAAGAACAAGATGATCAAGATGGCTCTTCATGGAAGTGCATCGTCAGGTATCTTTTATTGGAATTTTTTTCATGTTTATTTGCATGTTTCTTACTTTGGTCTCTTCTCTATTGGAATATAATCTCTAAAGCTGGGTGATCCTTTTCTTTTGATGGGATTGGGAATTTCCAGGACCTAGCCTAGTGCCCAGCATAATACCCAAAGCAGGTGCTCAATTATTTGTCAAATAAATATATTTAGCAGTGTGGTCCATATCAGGACAAATACCTTGTACTTTGGAAAGCTGGAATCTGAAAAATAATGATGCATAGGTAATATGCACACAGAAACTCATCGTTGGAAAGAAATGTAAGAAAAACATTATATATATATTTTTTGGCTGTGGTGCACAGCTTCGGGATCTTAGTTCCCAGACCAGGGATCAAGCCCATGCCCTCGGCAATGAAAGCCCAGCGTCCTAACCATTGGACGGCCAGGAAATTCCCAGAAAAACATTATTTGATTTTTATTTAGCTATATAGTTTTCTATTAGGCATTATTTGTTTATTACTCATTAATGTGGCTAATTCATCTGACACTTAACTATATTTTCAGTTTTTCCTGTTCATACATTTCTTTACTGAGGTCTGAAGAAATCTGAGGAACATTCTACTTTTTTTGTCCTGATCTTTTTTTTTCTATTCTCAATTTCTTTCGTTTATTTATTTATTTTACTTATTTATTTTTGGCTGTGTTGGGTCTTAATTGCTGCACGCAGGCTTTCTCTAGTTGTGGCTAGCAGGGGCTACTCTTTGTTGTAGTATGTGGGCTTCCCATTGCGGTGGCTTCTCTTGCTGCAGAGCACAGGCTCTGGGCGCACAGGCTTCTGTAGTTGTGGCTCACGGGCTCTAGAGCACAGGCTCAGTAGTTGTGGCGCAAAGCCTTAGTTGCTCTGTGGCATGTGGGATCTTCCCAGACCAGGGATCAAACCCATGTCCCCTGCATTGGCAGGTGGATTCTTAACCACTGTGCCACCAGGGAAGTCCCTCTATTCTTAATTAATTTTTTTTCTTTTACATCTTTGTTGGAGTATAATTGCTTTACAATGTTGTGTTAGTTTCTGCTGTATAACAAAGTGAATCAGCTATATGTACACATATATCTCCATATCCCCTCCCTCTTGCGTCTCCCTCCCATCCTCCCAATCCCACCCTTCTAGGTAGTCACAAAGCACCGACCTGATCTCCCTGTGCTATACCGCTGCTTCCCACTAGCTATCTGTTTTACATTTGGTAGTATATATATGTCAGTGCTACTCTGTCACCTCGTCCCAGCTTCCCCTCCCTGCCCCATGTCCTGAAGTCCATTCTCTATGTCTGCGTCTTTATTCCTGTCCTGCCCCTAGGTTCTTCAGAAACCTTTTTTTTTAAGATTCCATATATATGTGTTAGCATACAGTATTTGTTTTCCTCTTTCTGACTTACTTCACTCTGTATGACAGGTTCTAGGTCCATCCACCTCACTAAGAATAACTCAGTTTCGTGTCTTCTTATGGCTGAGTAATATTCCAACGTATATATATGCCACATCTTCTTTATCCATTCATCTGTTGATGGACACTTAGGTTGCTTCCATGTCCTGTTATTGTAAATAGTGCTGAAATGAACATTGTGGTACATGACTCTTTTTGAATTATGGTTTTCTCAGGGTATATGCCCAGTAGGGGGATTGCTGGGTCATATGGTAGTTCTATTTTTAGTTTTTTAAGGAATCTCCATACAGTTCTCCATAGTGGCTGTATCAATTTACATTCCCACCAACAGCACAGGAGGGTTCTCTTTTCTCCACACCCTCTCCAGCATTTATTGTTTGTACATTTTTTCATGATGGCCATTCTGACCAGTGTGAGGTGATACCTCATTGTGGTTTTGATTTCTATTTCTTTAATGATTCCTGATGTTGAGCATACTTTCATTTGTTTGTGGGCCGTCTATATATCTTCTTTGGAGAAATGTCTATTTCGGTCTTCTGCCCGTTTTTGGATTGGGTTGTTTGATTGATTGATTGATTGATTGATTGATTTATGGGTATGCGGGCCTCTCACTGTTGTGACCTCTCCCGTTGTGGAGTGCAGGCTCAGCGGCCATGGCTCACGGGCCCAGCGGCTCCACAGCATGTGGGATCTTCCCTGACCGGGGCACGAACCCATGTCCCCTGCATCGGCAGGCGGACTCTCAACCACTGCGCCACCAGGGAAACCCAGGTTGTTTGATTTTGATATTGAGCTTCATGCGCTGCTTGTGTATTTTGGAGATTAATCCTTTATCACTTGCTTCGTTTGCAAATATTTTCTCCCATTCTGAGGACTGTCTTTTCGTCTTGTTTATGGTTTCCTTTGCTGTGCAAAAACTTTTAAGTTTCATTAGGTCCCATTTGTTTATTTTTGTTTTTATTTCCGATACTTTAGGACGTGGGTCAAAAAGGATCTTGCAGTGATTTATGTCATAGAGTGGTCTGCCTATGTTTTCATCTAAGAGTTTTATACTATCTGGCCTTACATTTAAGTCTTTAATCCATTTTGAGTTTATTTTTGTGTATGGTGTTAGGAAGAGTTCTAATTTCATTCTCTTACATGTAGCTGTCCAGTTTTCCCAGCACCACTTATTGAAGAGGCTGTCTCTTCTCCATTGGATATTCTTGCCTCCTTTGTCAAAGATAAGGTGACCATATATGTGTGGGTTTATCTCTGGGCTTTCTATCCTGTTCCATTGATCTATATTTCTGTTTTTGTGCCAGTGCCATACGGTCTTGATTACTGTAGCTTTGTAGTATAGTCTGAAGTCAGGGTGTCTGATTCCTCCAGCTCCATTTTTCTTTCTCAAGATTGCTTTGGCTATTCAGGGTCTTTTGTGTCTCCATACAAATTTTAAGATTTTTTTGTTCTACTTCTGTGAAAAATGCCATTGGTAATTTGATAGGGATTGCATTGATTCTGTACATTGCTTTGGGTAGTATAGTCATTTTCACAGTGTTGATTCTTCCAATCCAAGAACATGGTATATCTCTCCGTCTGTTTGTATTGTCTTCAGTTTCTTTCATCAGTGCCTTAAAGTTTTCTGCATACAGGTCTTTTGTCTTCTTGGGTAGATTTATTCCTAGGTATTTTATTCTTTTTGTTGCAGTGGTAAATGGGAGCGTTGCCTTAATTTCTCTTTCAGATTTTTCATTGTTAGTGTATAGGAATGCAAGAGATTTCTGTGCATTAGTTTTGTACCCTGCTACTTTACCAAATTCATTGATTAGCTCTAGTAGTTTTCTGGTAGAGTCTTTAAGATTCTCTTTGTTTAATATCATGTCATCTGCAAACAGTGACAGCTTTACTTCTTCTTTTCTAATTTGGATTCCTTTTATTTCTTTTTCTTCTCTGATTGCCGTTGCTAAAACTTCCAAAACTATGTTGAATAATAGTGGTGAGAGTGGACAACCTTGTCTTGTTCCTGATCTTAGAGGAAATGGTTTCAGTTTTTCACCATCGAGTACGATGTTGGGTGTGGGTTTGTCATATATGGTCTTTATTATGTTGAGGTAGGTTCCCTCTATGCCTGCTTTCTGGAGAGTTTTTATCATAAATGGGTGTTGAATTTTGTCAAAAGCTTTTTCTGCATCTATTGAGATTATTATATGGTTTTCCTCCTTCAGTTTGTTAATAAGGTGTATCCCATTGATTGATTTGCATATACTGAAGAATCCTTGCATTCCTGGGATAAACCCCACTTGATCTTCATGTACCATCCTTTTAACGTGCTGTTGGATTCTGTTTGCTGATATTTTGTTGAGGATTTCTGCGTCTGTGTTCATCAGTGATATTGGCCTGTAGTTTCCTTTTCATGTAACATCTTTGTCTGGTTTTGGTATCAGGGTGATGGTGGCCTTGTAGAATGAGTTTGGGAGTGTTCCTCTCTCTGCTGTATTTTGGAAGTATTTGAGAAGGATAGGTATTAGCTCTTCTCTAAATGTATGATAGAATTCGCCTGTGAAGCCATCTGGTTCTGGGCTTTTGTTTGTTGGAAGATTTTTAGTCACAGTTTCAACTTCAGTGCTTGTGATTGGTCTGTTCATATTTTCTATTTCTTCCTGGTTCATTCTTGGTAGGTTGTACTTTTGTAAGCATTTGTCCATTTTTTTGAGGTTGTCCATTTTATTGGCATTGTGTTGCTTGTAGTAGTCTCTCATGATGCTTTGTATTTCTGCAGTGTCAGTTGTTACTTCTCCATTTTCATTTCTAATTCTGTTGATTTGAGTCTTCTCCCTTTTTGTCTTGATGAGTCTGGCTAATGGTTTATCACTTTTGTTTATCTTCTGAAAGAAGTAGCTTTTAGTTTTATTGATCTTTGCTATTGTGTCCTTCATTTCTTTTTTATTTATTTCTGATCTGATCTTTATGATTTCTTCTGCTAACTTTGGGAGTTTTTTGTTCTTCTTTCTCTAATTGCTTTAGGTGTAAGTTTAGGTTGTTTATTTGAGATGTTTCTTGTTTCTTGAGGTAGCATTGTATTGCTATAAACTTCCCTCTTAGAACTACTTTTGCCGCATCCCATAGGTTTTGGGTTGTCGTATTTTCACTGTCATTTATTTCTATGTAGTTTTTGATTTCCTCTTGTATTTCTTCTGTGATCTCTTGGTTATTTCGTAGTGTATTCTTTAGCCTCCATGTGTTTGTATTTTTTACAGTTTTTTTTTCCTGTATTTGATATTTGGTCTCATAGCATATTTGTTGAAAAAGATGCTTGGTATGATTTCAGTTTTCTTAAATTTACTGAGGCTTAATTTGTGACCCAAGATATGATCCATCTTGGAGAATGATCCGTGTGCACTTGAGAAGGTAGTGTATTCTGTTGTATTTGGATGGAATGTCCTATAAATATCAGTTAAGTCCATCTTTAACTGATAAAGATGGACTTAACTGATATTAAAGCTTGTGTTTCCTTATTTATTTTCATTTTGGATGATCTGTCCATTGGTGAAAGTGGGGTGTTAAAGTCCCCTACTATGATTGTGTTACTGTCGA